GGGATGGAGCTTGAGGAGAGCAGGGTCTGGGGCGGGGAGGGACTTCAGTGGGGTATATCGCCTTCCAAAGCAGTCATTTTCTCCAGGTGATTGATCTTTGTCGCCTGGGGATCAGTTGTAATCCCAGGAGATCTCCAGCCACCACCTGGAGGTTGGCAGTCGTACGCTGTAGCGTGTGCAAAATCAAGCCCAAGTCACCTGAAACACTGATGGTGCGAAGTGACATAAAGTCCCTGCCAGTTTATGGTGGTGACCCCATAGGGTTTTCAAGGCAAGAAATGCCCAGACCTGGTTTGCCATTGCCTGGCTAAGTATAGCCGCCCTGGCCTTCCTTGGTGGTCTCCCAGCAAAGAAATAACCAGGGCAGACCTTGCTTAGCTCCCAGGCTCTGACCGTCATGGGCCAATCCTTTTTATATGGTTGGGGAGGGGGTATTGAAGCAGGGGTTTAATTCCTCATGAGTCAGTCAACTCTAATAGATTCTTCACTCTTAGTGCTTTAGGTATTAAAATCGGTTGTTTGTGTTAAAGGTAAAAAGATGACATGGGTGCAGCACCCACCTGACAATTCCTCAGAGATAGCTGTGTGACTTACTGTGAAACTTACAAAGGTAATATACAGACAGTATATGATACATTCCTGAGTACTTGAGTACAAGCCTAATGCTTATATGGTGTATCTATCTATCTATGGCACCATCCTGTGAATTGCTAACAGCACAAGCATATTAAGAGCCCCTTCTCCCCCTGTGCCACAGCCCTGACTGGAATCAGGCCCCTGCAGTGCTTTTAAAGAAGCATCCACACATTATTGGATATACCATACCACAGCAATAGTTTGCAACAGGATTTTCTCTGTGCGGGCAAAGTGATCAGTTTGTAAAGGACTGCTATAGAACCATGATAGCTCAATGTGTATTGAGCGAAATCAAATTCACACACCTGTCAGACTGTTTAGTGTCCCCATGGCAATCTGGTGATAGATGTAACATACAGACTGGACTCTTGAGAAGAACTTAATTGGTGTTCTGAACAATGTAAGAGGAGGTAGGCCTTCAAGTATCCTGGCCCCATTCTGTTTAAGGTTATGGATCCTAGCTGCCAACATACTTGAAGCCAGGTTAAGGTAGGGTTGCCAAATTGTTTTTACCTGGTGGCGGGGGGCTCCTGTTCAGCGTCCACAGCCGGCAGTTGTTGAGTTGCATACTTAACACTGGCACTTTATGTTCTGTAAGAAACAGGGCGGGGACACAGACACTTGTACATGTGCTTATGTAAGCCACGGGGACACAGCACACACTAGTGCTTATGTAAGCCGCCCTGAGCCCACTTGCGGGGAGGGCGGGGTATAAGTGAAATAAAATAAAAATAAATACATGAAGTTCCAGGCTTATCCTTTGTTCTGGGTTGGAGTGGGGAGAGAGGCACTTGTGGAGTTGTGGGGAAGTCAGTTGTCAAATAAACTGGGCAATGGGTAGCAAACATTTATTTTCGCTTTGATTTTTAGGCCATCCAATATTTGAGGGATTAAGCATCAGATCATGGAAACTAAGCAGAGTCAGCTCTAGTTAGTACTTGGACTGGAGACTACCAGGGAAGTTGTGGGTGCCAGTGGCACAGAGGCAAACTACCTGTGTCTGTCTCTTGCCTTGGAAACTCCATGCAGGTTTGCCATAAGTCTGTTGTGCTTGGCGGCCCTTTCCACCACCAGGTAGTCAGTGAGAGGGGCCACTTTGGATCAAGGCCACAGTGCAGAGGTTCAACACTTCTGGTTTGCACCATTTTCCTAACCTCTATGGGCCCACTAGAACTACTATGGGGAGCAGGGTGAAATGTGGGTTAGGGTCAGAATTAACCCCCCACCTCCATGCAGTGTCTCCAATCTGAATGAAGACTCCCATCACTGCAATAAAAGCAGGCTGTGCATGGACCTTCTAGCATCTCCTCTAATTTGACCCTGATAGAGACTTGCTTCCCACGATGTACACGTAAACTCTCTTGCTTGCAGTCAAACAACTTTTCAAGCTTCTTGCAAGCAGTATAAAAATCTGCAAAACCTACTGACATGTGGGAAAGATGAGACAAAGGTATGCTCTCATCCCTTTTCCAAACTGTCTTCCACATTCTGAAAAATGATTACCTTCCTTTAGACAATGTCATCAAATAATGCATAATGCAAAACATCATTCCATGAATGTATGGTTAGTCTGGATTTTGGAATGACAAGCATGGCTCTAGAAGACTGACAGGAAATCCAGTTCTGCAGGGAATCCAGAGTTTTTGCTTGTGCAGAAATGTCTAAAATGAAGACTAACTAAAACACTCCCAGAGGTAGACAAGCTTCTCCTGCCCCTGTGACATTAGTTAAGAATGTTTCCTGTTTTCATTTCATCAGCAAATATCATTTGGCTAATGATTTTGTGATTCCTCCCTGTTCTTTCCAGTCCCATACAGCACCAACCCAGACTGCTGTCCCATGTATGCATAACGTTTTACAGAGTGGCAGACATTGTGAGCCAGTTTGGGGCCAGTTCCCTGGTCAATCAAAAACACTAACTTGCTCTTTTAAAGAATTTTTCTAAGGACATTTTAATTGTGAATTGACAGATTCAGTTTAAAGAATTAGAACTTTTTAAAGAGTAGGGGAGAATCTCTTTTTTAAACTACAGTTAACTGGTACACTGAGCCCTACCCACCTGACCCCCCCAATGCTCAGCTCATCCAAGTTTCCTCCTAGCTCAGAGTGGATTTTTGTAATCCTTAGCATGCTTAAGTGAACCTGAGGGGGAAAACACACCCTTTCCCATGCTTGTAGAGTCATAATAGCTAACATGCTTTCAGTGGACCAGAGATAACTACGGAAACTATAGTTTGTTTAAGGGAGGTGTTAATTATAAGTAGGTAAAAGTTTCTAACCTTACACATCCATGATGCTAACAATTCCTAGATGCTAACATTTGGGCATGGCACAAGGGTTATCAAAGGTTCTGCTTGGGGAGGGGCTGTAGATCACCAGTAGAGCATCTCCTTTGTATGCCAGATGTTCAGTCTCCAGAATCTCCAGGTAAACAATCTCAGGAAGCAGGTGATGCAAAAAGATCTCTACCTGAAATCTTGGGAGAGCTGCTGCCAGTCAGAGTACGAAACAGTGACCTTGACTCCAGAGAAGGCAACTTAAATAAGCTTAGTGGTAGAGCATCTGCTTTGCATGCAGAAGGTCCCACGTTCAATTCCAGCATCACCATTTAAAAAGATGAGAAGGCGATGTGAAAGGACCCTGACCTGAGACCCCAGAGAACTGCCAGAGTAGGCAATAGTGACCCTGGTAGACTAAAGGTCTGACTTGATATAAGGCAGCTGCATGTGTTCACTGTGTTATGAGAAAATCACCAATTCTTCCATTCACATCTTTAAAGCTGCAGCCAGCTCCATGTTGCATGGCAGGTAAGTGTCAGGTCCCCAGCTAAGTCGCTCTCCACACACACTATTGGCAGTGAAATGTTTATTAGAGATATGCTTGCTGTAGGTTCAAAACCTTTGTTAGGACTGAAGAAAACCGTGGGAACTTACAGGTTATAGGTAAAAGCATAACATTCCACATTCACCCACAACACACCTATCCCTGGCATTACTATGGCAACGCAGACAGATATATGGTGCCCTATCTACCCAAACTAGGCACAAAGATTCTCCAAGGTCAGTCTCACAAGAACCAACTCTTGGGGCACTGCTTCAGGAAAATTATGGTGCCTACTCCCAATGCACTCTAACAACCCCCCCCCCCCCAGGACTTCAACATGACAAGCAAAGGTGAAGGAAAGCAGAACCTAAGGAAAATGAAAGTTAAGCCTGAGCTTGACATACTGTCCCCCCCAAGCCCCCTCAACTCCCCGGCTTGTGGGGATGACTGTGATGGAATTCTTTAATGAGATGAGAGGCTCTAATATGCTTAGCTTGTACCCACTCGTTCTGTTCTTGCCCAAAGTCCTTCCATTTGACAAGATAGAACAGTTGGTCACGTTTCACTTTAGAATCCAAGATGGTCTCTACCACCTGATGGAGTTTGCCGTCGATCAGGAGAGGAAGAGGCGTTGGAGGACGATAAGTCCAAGGCGAGGGTCCAGGGTCCGTCTTTAATAAGCTGAAATGAAAAACAGGGTGCACGGAGCGCAAAGATTCATGGAGTTCCACTTCTACAGCCACCTAATTATTACACGAGCTACTTTAAAAGTTCCAATGTATTTCCCACCCCAACTTCTGCCCTGGTTGCAGTCCCCGTAAGTGTTTTGTGGAAATGTATACAAAGCCCCCAGGAGCCAAATCCCATCCAGGACTCCTGGATTTGTCAGCATAGCGCTTGTAGTCCTCCTTTGCTTTATTCAATGTCTTTTGGACTGTGTCCCAACTCTTAGTTACTGTAGACCACCAAAGCTGGGCATCTCCTTTCACAGGTTTGCGCAGGTCCACAGAGGGCAGGGGACCCCCTTCGTATCCATGCACTGTTTTAAAAGGGGACATTCCTATAGAACTGTAGACAGAGTTATTGTAACTGTACTCAGCCAACGGCAGTAGTTTTACCCAGTCATCTTGTTGATGGTTAATGTAACACCTGAGGAATTGCTCTAAGAGTTGATTAGTGTGTTCGGTCTGGCCATCGGTCTCGGGATGGTGTCTACTTCTCAGTCCTTGTTCCAACCCCAACAGGCCCATAAGTTCCTTCCAAAATTTGGCAACGAACTGCGCCCCCTGGTCTGAAATTATCTTGCGGGGCACCATATGTAGTCTTACCATGTGCTACAAAAACATCTTAGCCAGTTGCTTAGGAGATGGTATTTGTTTGCATGGCATGAAATGGACTTGCTTAGAAAACAGGTCTACCACAACCCATATTACTGTCTTACCCTGACTATGGGGCAAATCGGTGATAAAATCCATAGAAATCCCAGCCAAGGCCTCTCGGGGGTCTCTAGAGGTTTTTTATTTATTTATTTATTAAATTTCTACCCTGCCCTCCCGCCGAAGCAGCTCAGGGTGGCTTACAAGCAATTTAAAACCTGGCCAGGCACCCCCCCCCCTTGTTTACTCATTAGGCAGGTCTGACATGTAGCAACATACTTGGAAATATCTCCTCTCATCCCCAGCCACCAAAACTGCCTTTGGATCAAATGCAAAGTCTTTAAATAACCAAAGTGCCCAGACATTTTGTTATGTCCCATCGACAACACTTCTCCCCATAAAGACCCGGGAACAAACACTTTGTCTCCTTTGTACCAACACCTGTTCTCTTTCTGACACAAAGAGCCCTCCTTTTTTAATAGTCTCTAAATCCTTGGGGGAAATAGTGGCTTTCAGCTTCTCCTTCCAGTTGCCCAACTCCTCCCTCCCCGCTTTTGCCTGGCTCTGCGTTGTCACTGCATCCCCCAGTTGGGCGGGGGTAAACATAGTGTCTATGACATCATGTTGGCTGGCATGCTGCGGGAAACGGGACCAGGAAGTTAGATTTCCGAGGGAGGTGTTTCAAAGTGAACCGAAACTCTGCCCATCGTAGTTGTTTGGCATGGAGATGGGGGGGGGAGGTTACGGCTTCCAAATTTTTATGACTGGTTCAAACCTCGAAAGGAACCCTCACCCCCTGCAACCAGTGCCGCCATGTAGTCAGTGCTAATTTTATAGCCGCCACCTCCTTGTCCCATACCGCCTAGTTTCTTTCACCCCAGAAAACTTTTTGGAGACGTGAGGGGATGCAACTTCCCATTGGGGCCCCTATGCAGAATCGCCTCCCCCATCGCCACATCCAAGGCATCTACTTGAACAATGAAAGCTTTCATTCATCTGAGTGTTGAAGAATGAGCTTGGAGGTGAAAAGAGTTTTTAATTTGTCAAACACCTTCTGAGGAACAGGATCTCACCAGTTCTCATGCCGGGGTCTGGCGGACCCTGCTGGCTGGTGCCCTTCACAACAGGTCCCGGCCTTTTCCCTGCATCTGAGGCTCTTCAGCATTGCTGGAGGAAGTTCCCTCCAATGTGGTGTACTCAGCTGCCTGCAGGGCTCTTGGCGACTTGGGCCTTTTCCCAATGGCACTTTGGGTTTCTTGTCACGTTGCTCCTCGCAGCACTCCCTCTCCTCACTCCAAGGCCGGTTGCATTCAGCAGCGAAGTGCCCTGCTTTCCCGCAGTGTAGACACAGCCCCTTCTTCAGTCAATGCTCCCGATCCGCTCTGGTTAGTGGTTCTCTACACCAAGGCATCCTCTGGGTTTTTCCGCTGCACACAGGCGTCTTGTATTGGTAGCTTCACCAGATTATGCTGGTTCTCAGCCTTGCAGGCCACTTGGATCCACCCCGCTAGGGTTAAGGGGTTGTCTTGGGCCAGTGCCTTCTCCAAAATGATGGTGTTCAGGCCAGCTCAGTAGAACTCGATCAGAACCTCTTCCGGCCAGCCCTGGAGCTTGGCCGTGGTTGCTTTGAACTCATGTACCGACCAAGCTCCTTGATGCAGCCCCGGAGATGCGTACGAGCCGTCTCCAGCTCCAACAGGTTCTCAAACTGGTGCCACAGGGCCTGCATGAAGGCGTCCACATCTCGAAGCTCTGGGGCCGTGACGCTGTAAAGCCCCACGAACCAGTCAGGAGCCCACATAATCCACATGCTGCTCATTGGAGGCAAAGGTGTGCCCCCACTCCTGCAGCATATTTCGCACCTGGATCACAAAGAATGCTAGCTTCCCTGGGCTTCCCTGGGCTGCCATCAAATGTGGCCTCCAAAGCATCATGGGGCCAGTCTCGCTCGTCATCGGGTCTTTGAGGAGGGGGTGGGGGCTTCTCAGGTTCACCCTCGCTTTTCTCCTCCTCGGACTCCTCCGATTTCTCCTTCTCCATTAGCTCCTTCACTAACTTGGGGAGATTATTCACCAAGCATTGGAAGCCTTCTTTGAGCTCCTTCACATTGGCTCGGAGACTGGACTGGTCCCTCTCCGTTGCCGGCTCATCTTCCCACTCCTTTCGCATTTTGCCCAGGTCCAAGTCATCATGGAAGGTGCGGGAAACATGCCATTTCTCGCTATCAGCCTTTTCCTGGGTACCACGAAACCCTGGGGTACTCACCAACCAGGCCAGATCATCCCAGCAATCGGGGCTGTCGCATCTCTTAGGAGGATGGAAGAGAACGTGCTTTTTAGACCTAGCACCAGTGGACTTGCTGTCTTTCTTCTTCTTGGGGTTGTGCGCGGGGTTCTCAGGTTCAGACCTGGTACTCATGCTCACCCCGCCATCTCCATCTCCGTTCCCCATGCTGTCGTAGGTTGGGGCCGGTGGGAGGGATCAATGGGAGTCCAAGCAATCTGTCAGGTTCCCAGTTAAGTCACTCTCCACTAGGGTTGCCAGGTCCCCCCAGGGGGCGGGGAAACCCCCGCTCAAGAGGCCCATTCCCCACCAGCCCAGATCGGGCCGCCGGGGGAACCCCACCCCCAAAGTCTGTGACGTGCGCGGCATAAAGACGCCCCCTGGAGGTGATGTCACCACGTCGGGCATGTTACCAGGGGATGCTCTATCATTCGAGGGAAAACTCCATCATTCGAGGGAAAACACTCTATCATGCGAGGGAAAACCCCAACATGCCTGACGCAATGATGTCACTTCTGGGTGGTGTCATCGTGGCACGCGCCCGAGAAGACTCCCGGGCAGGGACAGGACTCCCCCCGCTCTTAGGTAAGTTCGACTTGGCAACCCTACTGTCCACACACACTATTGGCAGTGAAATGTTTATTAGAGATATGCTTGCTGTAGGTTCAAAACTTGTGTTAGGACTGAAGAAAACTGTGGGAACTTACAGGTTATAGGTAAAAGCATAAAATTCCACATTCACCCACAACACACCTACCCCTGGCGTTACTATGGCAACACAGACAGATATATGGTGCCCTATCTACCCAAACTAGGCACAAAGATTTTCCACGGTCAGACTCACGGGAACCAACTCTTGGGGCACTGCTTCAGGAAAATTATGGTGCCTACTCCCATGCACTTTTACAACACCCCCCCCCCCAGGAATCCAACATGACAAGTAAAGGTGAAGGAAATCAGAACCTAAGGAAAATGAAAGTTAAGCCTGAGCTTGACAGTAAGCTATGACCCCAGTTCATTATCAAACTTGTTGTGAAAGCTTGCAAAGCTGATAGGAAGGATTAGCAGACTCTAAGTGAAGGAAGACACTAAGCCTGGGCTGTCATCTGTTCAGTCTTTCTTAAGAATGGTGCCGTAAAGGCCTGTGTAATGAGCCTTACTGTATACACGCTCTGGACTGGAGCGGTACAGCCCTTCGCTCAACCGCCTGCTGCTGGCTGCCTCCTTGTAAGGGGAGAAGGCAGATTTGTGAGCACTGGTGTAGTCAGCTTCAAAAGCTGAGCTCCGGCGTTGGACGGGGGCTTGCTGTACCAGGTGGGGCTCATCAAGATTGAGGAAAGTGAGGGGATGGTGGCCTCGGTTGGATCGCCAGTCTCCCCGCAGCTGATAATGGGCCCCCTTTTCCTGCGTATGAGTGACCACAGGCTGGCTGCTTTTCTGCCGCTGGTATGTCTCAGACCCTTCTGCCATCACAGTTGCAGTCCCCTCTGCCTTCACAAAGAGCCTTGGAACCTAAACAGGAAGCAGAAAGAGGCACAGAGAAGGTAAACTCAGCTGGGGGTCCAAGTGGCCCACAGAACTTTCTGCAAGTGATTCTGCAGTCCCACTTCTCGGGAGTGGAGTTCTGCAGACGAACCCCAAGCATTTTAGCAGAAGATTTAAAACCTCCTCCATGTGGTGCAGGTCACACTCATATCATTGAAAGGAAAGAAGAAGAAAAAACAAGCAGCCACTCCTGTTAAAAGAACCAGGCTGCAAACTTTGGAAATTGCACTAACATAGTGCCACTGCAGTCTTTCAAAACTGGATAATCTTAGACACGCTGAATAATCCATCTGAGAAAGGATTGCTATCACTCAGAAACCAGGAGTTTTGAAATCAGAAGTTGGCTAGTCAATGAGGCTTCCTTTCCATATACACAAAAGGTCTTGTGAGAATGGGGACTATCCTCCACAGAAGCAAATGTGTATGTGAGAATATGGGCAAGGCTGATAGGATGGGACTTTTCTACCTAACTGGCATCCAGCCAAAAGGGATGGTGCTGAATGGGTGGGACATATCCACACCAGATGCCTGTCTTGTACATCTGCAGGAACCGAAAAGCCTAATCATGTGAGATGGGGGAGGAGACAGGTTGGCTAGGGTACAGGAGTGTGGTGTGCACAAATTCCAACTGCTGTCTGTCCTCCTTGCTACTCTATCTTCTCAGGTCTCCTACTGTGGCAGGAGAGATCACTTACTGGTACGTAGTGAACGATTGTCCCAAGGAAGCTGCCGGTGACATTCTGTAGGATCCCCCACAACATGCCCACTTTTGTGCTCCTCTCAGACACTGCCCTGTGTGGGGAGAGAAGCTGCCCTGCTGCATTGCAGGCTGTGAAGTGGGCCTCCTTCATGCCAGAGATGGTGGAGAGAGAGGCTGCTTGCAGGTTCTGAGTCAGGCTGCCCGGCAGGCTCTGGGCCTTGGCACTCTCTTCTGTCTGGAAAAGCAGAAAAAGAAACCAGATCCCTCCATGAGCAATAGCACAGATGCATCTAATTATGTAAGTGCTGTCAAGTCACAACAAACTTATGGCCAGCCTAGCAAGGGGATTTAAAGGCATGTGAGAAGCAGAGGTAGTTGGCCAGGGCCTTCCTCTGCAGAGTCTTCCTTGACGGTCTCCCAGCCAGGTGCCAACTCTGCTTAGCTTCTGAGATCTGACAAGATCAGGCTATACCATGATGCCTTCCGTCCACACACACATCTGCAAGCAGCTATTTTACCATGCCCTTCCCCAATACTTTGCCGCTATGTCCCTTTTCCCACCAAACCAGCCTGTTTACCCGGCAATAACCAGCTTCCGCATACAGAGGCCATGAACTGAACAACACATGGATTTCCAGGGTAATCAAGAAGCCTGCACTGGGCCTTTGAATATTCTGGTCCTTTGGGAATTGAGCTATTCTTCACTATGGTATACTTCCTTGTCTTCTGCCTGTTTTCCAGTCTCTGACTCTTGAGACCTTGACATGAGTGAAGTCATAATTTTGTCCCCCTTCCTGCCACATTACTTTGATGTCACAACTGTGATATCACATGACTTCCTGCCACACGGCTGCAGCTCAGGGGTCCCATGGGTGCAAAAGATGAGTCCCGGATCTAGAAGGGTTGTAGGTGGTTATGCAGTCTGGCACTTTCCAGTAGGGCAAATTGCAGCTCACTGGGAGCTGTTTCAGATTTGGGAAATGGTGCAAGGGTATAATGTATCAAGCTCCGACCGCGTGTGCGGCTTGGTCACCACGCGGTCATGTGAAGCAGCTGAGCTTCGCTCTCAGGAACAATGGGCCAAGCGAATCCTAGCCCGCTCCAATCGGAGGGCTCGGCTCCAGGCCGAGAGCCTATGGAACTCTCAGCCACTGTAAATAACCTATAACTTGTGTGTGTGTGGGGGGGTGTTTTGGATGTGGGTTGTCTGCCTTTATAATGAGATCACATACTTCCCAAGTTCTCAACACACTCGGGAGGCCCCTGCATGTGAACTGTTCCAAACTAGCATGAATGAAGCAAAGCAGACAGCCATACACATCCATTCCTTCCCCCAATTCACAGCAGAGATAATAACCAGCGAGACATAGAGCATGAAACATGTGAGCTATGAAAGAATACATATGAATGTGAACGCAGTGCAACAAGGACTACAGCCACCTACGCTGGCCAGCATTCAGTTGAGTGCATCGGCTTCACCTCCCGCCCCGCTACCAGTTCCACACTGCTCCATGAGAGCAAGGAAAGCACCCACTTATTTACAGGACTTTCTGTGTGGGTGTCTCTCGGACTAAGGGGGGAGGGGTGTAATGTATCAAGCTCTGACCGTGTGCGCGACTTGGTCACCACGCGGTCATGTGAAGCGGCCGAGCTTCGCTCTCAGGAACAATGGGCCAAGCGGATCCTAGCCCGCTCCAATCGGAGGGCTAGGCTCCAGGCCGAGAGCCTATGGAACTCTCAGCCACTGTAAATAACCTATAACTTGTGTGTGTGGGGGGGTGTTTTGGATGTGGGTTGTCTGCCTTTATAAACCGGCCTGCGAGCCGGTAGTTCTTGTCTTGTTCCGAGCTGAAATAAAGTATGAAAACTGAAATCGCTAGTAAGTCGCAGTACTTTTCAAAGGGGAAAGTGCTTCTCTTTGTGTACTATAGTCCTGATCTAAAATCAGGCCCCTGAACATCTGGGAACCGAGTTTCCAACTCCAGCTGCATGTCTGGCCCAAAGTCCTTGTAGAGGCCACATGTTTACCACTTAGACATTGCAACATGTGAATCAGCCGTGTCTTACAAAGGAACTGGACCTTGCAAAACTTCTCTCTGCTCAGGAACAAGAGATATGCAAAGCAGATGCTTTGGAAAATGACAGTGGCGATTCCGGGACGTTCCACACTGCAGTGTGAGGTGCTTTGCACTGACTGCAAAAGTGGCTGTTCAGCTTGGAATTTCCAGGCCCTGGCCCCAATTGGCAGGCTGGAGGGAAGACTTCTGAAATGTCAGGAAAGGCAGTCACAGCATAAACAGGGCAAAGACATTCTGAGAGCTAGTATAATGTAGTGATTAGAGTGTTGTACTAGGATCTAGGAGTCCCATGTTCAAATCTCCACACTCTGCCATGGAAACTTGCTGGGTGACCTTGGGATAGTCACGCACTCTCAGCCTAATCTACCTCAGAGGGTTGTTGTTGTAAAAGTAAAGTAAAGGCTGTAAGCCATGTGGAGTCCCTACTGGGGAGAAAAGTCGTGTATAAAGAAATTAGAGTACTATACCGTGCTTGTTCTGTCATCTTCGTTTTTTCTTTCCTCCCTTTTCTCAGGCGCCTTTCTCTGTCCTTTGCTTAACCAGCCATTTGCTATGTTCTGTTCATTGAAGAAGACCCACTGTGCCTTGGTTGAGCTTTGCCTGGCCAAACCACCCTAGATAGGAAAGATGGTGAAGAGGCCATGATTTTTCTCGGACCTAATAAGCTGGCCGATCACATAAAAAGAAAGAGAGTATGTGTGCGCACACAGGAGAGAGTGAGTGAAAGAGGAATATTTGTTTACATTCAGGAGCACTCAATTCCAAGGCCATCTTGGTCAACTGTACAGAAGTGCAAACTTCAGTCAACACTTCAGTAAAAACCATCTTTACATTTTTTTCCGCAGAGTCAGGAATGGAAACATTTTTTAAAAACTTAGGGACTAGCACCATGATTTTAGGACTGAATTCACCAGGTAAGAAGAACTCATGCCTGCCACAGAAAGCAGTAGTTGTGCACCTCTTCACATCTCCCTGGTAATGTCTGAAGGAACACTGTCACAGAAGTTCCCTAGCTGTTCCTCAGGTGAGGCACAGGCAAGGAAACTCTGAGCGTGCTTAACTCATGTTATATGTTATCTTTAACAAAGGACCAAACAATGCACTACCTGACTAGAACTCCTGATGTAGTGTTGTTGTTGTTCAGTTGCACAGTCAAGTCCGACACTTCGCGACCCCATGGACCACATCACACCAGACCCTCCTGTCTTCCTTTTTAAAAATTATTTTTTCCCCCCGCAGGGGATTTTCTACACACTACAATTATGGGATGTGGGAATGGATACTAATACCGTAACACTAATACTATGGGTGATGGGTATGGGAAATCTAATACATAAATCTACTGGATAGGGGAAGCAGTACTACAGTTCTAATCTATTCCATCTACTGGATTTGGGGAATGGGTAAAGAATAATACATGTCACGATCTAAGAAGTTATAGAAATATTGTTTGTAACCTAATATAAAATGTTATGTTAAGATTTGATTCAATTATTAATACATATTTAGTAGCTTAATGCAATTTCTGCCTTTAATACTATTGCCTTAGTTCTAGAGTCTTTTCTTCCTGCATTTTTTCGTTTTCTGGAGTTTTGGAGCAGCTACTCCTTTCTCCGATTCAGATTATTCTGATGACATGGAAATTTGGCTTGTTGAATCCTGTGAGTAGGATTCTTCTTCTACCTCCCCATCTGGTTTAAATTCTTTTCCTTCTGAGTTCTTTTTTTATATTAAACATTTGATCCATAAATTTTTCCGCTTTTGGAACAGAGTCTATTTTATATTTTTTGTCCTGGTAGTTGAAGCTCAGCCCTTCCGGGAATAACCATTTGTATGGTATTCCCTTTTTTTGCAGAGTGAGAGTGAGCATCCTGTTGCGTTTCCTCCGTTTTCTAACTTCAAAGGGGATGTCTTTCAAAATTTTTACATCTTCATTCTTGATTTTTAGGGTTTTTCCCATTGTTGACTTTAGCACCAATTCTCTGGTAGATCGTTTCATAAATTTTAGGTAGGTTTTCCCTGGGAGTTTGTTTTTCTTTATAAAGTCCGGATAAGTCCTATAAGCCACATCCATCTCTTTTATTAAATCTTCTTGTTTGTAATCCATTAATGGGGCCAAGGCAGCTCCCAAGAGTTCTTTTAAATCTTCATTTTTCTCTTCGGGGATCCCATGAAAACATAGAACATACATGGATCTCTCCAGCTGAAACTGTGTTATTTGCATTTTATCAGCAGATCTTTCCTTCTCTGCTTCATGAGGTCAGTTGTATTCTAATTGCTATTGCATTCCTTCTGTGCTTCTTTGCTGCTGTAACGCTTATCTCTAAGTTCTGCAGGTGGTGGGATGTTGATGTCTGGTTTCAAGGGAACAGTGGGAGCGTGCTTGGTTCCCAGCTTCAGCACTAACGGCTGGAGGGCTTTGTCCCACACCCGGGAGTGTGGCTAATTGGCCAGGGCAGTGGGGGAGTGCATACGAATACCCTATATCCTATTATGCCCATGGGCAGCCGCCATTCTTAACAGTGCCTATGTTAATGCATCTATAGCTCTTCAAAAAAGTATTAGCTTTCCTGATAAGCGTGTACTACGTTGTTGGCTGTGGGTTCTGACAGCAGTGCAGAGAAGTCTGTAGTTACTTCCTGGTTCTGGGAAGGAGTAGTTGGTATGTTATTTCTGGTCACCAGTTTTTTATCCGGCACTCTCCGTCCTCTCCCAGCCATAATATCAACAAGAAGTAAGTTTTCCAAAACAAGGCAAAAGTTATACGATTTAGTCCCGCTTTGTATACTTTAGCAGTTTTTGCATTCGTTTAACTGCTTAATGCGCTTATTTTAGCTAAAAGTCTTTTATTTCTGATTTAAAACCATTTTTAAAGCTTGCTCAAAGAAAAAAAGGGGGGGTGTTAATTCCTCTCCCCAACGCTTCAAACTTAGGTGCTTCCAATTACTACCAAGTTTCAGTTCACTTTTTTCACCTGAGCTTTGCTTAGCTCATGATTTGGAGCCTTGGAGATCTTTTGGAAGCATTTTTAAAAGTTTGATCATGGTTGCTTGCTCCGGCAGTCATCTCTAGACGCCATGCTGGCTCTGCGGCGATGGTACCTTTCGGGGAAGAAGGTGAGCCTCAATTCCTTGGCCATCGCCTTGGAAGAGGCTCTCCTCAACTCCCCAGGCTGGGGGTCTCCTACAAAGACCCCATGGAGGTCCGGGACGAACTCGGACCCCTCCCGTCAGCTGGGTCTCGGTGCGTCTCCATCAGAGCGAGACGGGACGCATCCGAGCAGTGAAACGCTTAGACCGGAAGTCCCGGCCCTCCTGTCTTCCATCGTGCTTTGAAGTTTGCTTAATTTCATGTTCGTTGCATCAGTAACACTGTCTAACCATCTCATTCTTTGCTGTCCCCTTCTTCTTTGACCTTCAGTCTTTCCCAGCATCAGGGTCTTCTCCAGTGAATGTAGTATTTGGCCTTAAAAAGTATTGGGGGGAGGTGCCAATAGGAATAAAAGCTAAAGTGTTGGGCAAGGAATAACCTTGATGCTGTTTCTCTGTTGAAAATTGCCCCTCTGGCCCAGTGTGTATGGGGGGGAGACCTGAATGGCACCTCTTTTCCATTATTGGAGCTTAAAGCAGTGAGGGATGCAGATGGGAATTTTCAGATGGGGAAATGGAGGAGGCAGGGAAGAGTTAACACACCCCATCCCTCCCCACATACAGTTCCCTAGAATCACAGCCCTGATCCAGATCAGACCTGTCTCTCCCCACCCCAAGCTATTGTTTGAACCCATGGAGAGTTCCACTCATGGAAATAGAGTTTGACCCTCAACGTGAAAAAAGAGAAGTCAGACATGTGTTCCCCAAATTCTACAGACATGTGTTCCTCATAATGTAGAGTTTGGGCATTGGGGATTCTTCTAACTCCGGCATATAGACAGCAGATGGCAACCCCTAAGGTAACACAAAGCTTACTAGAGTGATATGAGTTCAGGCTGAAGATATGTTAAATAGCCTAAAGTGGATCTTTCTCTGATTGGGTTTCTTATTTAAATATAAACCCTAAATTGGTGTCAGGTAGCCCTGTCATAGATCTGGAATGTGGAGGGGGGCCCTCCTCCTTGTTCTCAGCTCTTCCCTGTCCTGCTTCTGTGCACTATCTCATGCTTCACCTTGCTGTCTCCAGCTGCAATTAACTCGGCTGGGAAAGTCAATGGCTTTTGTGCTTTGCCCGCTTGCCCGCTTGCTTTTGCCCGTGTGTGCAAATCGTCTTGGAACGAGCTGCCCCTCTTCTGTCCGAACTATAATCATTGGCTTGCACTCATAAGGGGGATGTTCCATTTTACTACAAGTCAGAGACCCTTATACTGACGGCTATTCCTGACACAATCTGTACACGTGTTCTTTAATACTGGAAGCACTAATAAACAGTTATCTTCTTATGAAGCCCTGTGTGATGTGACCTGATTGAGGAGCCTGACAATTGGCCCAGGATGTTCATGTGTATTACAAATGTCTCCACTTCCCCTGCCTGCATTAATAACGATCAGGCACAGCACAAAAGAAGTCTCAATAGCAATTTGGGCATGATATGAGGAAAGCACTCTTTCAGCACCAGGTGTTCTGCCATTGCCTTCCTGTTTGGTGTAGTGGTTAAGTGCACGGACTCTAATCTGGGAGAACCGGGTTTGATTCCCCACTTGCACCTGGCTGGATGACCTTGGGCAAGCCGTAGTTCTGATAAGAGCTGTTCTTGAAAAAAGAGCAGTTTCTGTGAAGAGCTCTCTCAGCCCCGCCTACCTCACAGGGTGTATGTTGTGGGGAGGAGAAGGGAAAGGAGTTTGTAAGCCGCTCTGAGACACCTTTGGGTAGTGAAGGGCGGGGTATAAATCCAATCTATTCTCTTCTTCTCTTCTTCTTCCTTTGCAGAGTCTTCCTTGGTAACAATCCTACTTAGCTGCTGAAACCTGATGAGATCAGGCTACACTGTACTGCTTTCCCACCCCAGATAGCAGGTATTGGGGTAAAAAAAACACCCTTTTTTTGGAAAACTGCTGTGATTCTGAGGAGCCAATTATGAGTTAGAAGGACCAGTAACTCAACTCAGTATAAGGCAGATTATTGTGTCCACATGAAACCCAGAAGCTGTGCATGTCATCTAAAGGGATGCATGAGATCTACTTAATCTTGCCAGGTACAAATTAAAGAGGACAGCAGTGAAGGACACACAAGACACCCACCCCCCTGGATGCAGGCTGGAGGAACCACTCTGGTTCAAGGTGGTGTTTGGGACTGGGGGCTTTTATACATTTTATAGAGGTTGATTTTTTTTATTATTATATGTCATGCACAAACTCTCTGAGAGTGTTTTATATTGTGAAGGCCTATGGCCATATACAATAAAGTGATTCTGATTCTGACTGGGGGCTACAGATATGAGATCCTGGCTCTGGTTCCCAGGCTAATAGGCTCCAGGATGTTGGGAGGAAGGGCCAGGGAAGGGGACAGGACTCTCGGACTTTGTTTTCCTCCCAGTGAGATGTCATAGCTTTGGAAAGGATGATAATTAAAGTCATTAATCAACAGAGCTGTCAGTTAAAAATAAACCAACTTTCAAGTCTGCCTAGTGGCAGAGAGGAGAGCTTCAGTGCCTGCAGCTAGTCTTGATTTTCTGTTGATGGGGACCAAGCTGTCTGCAGCACAACTTCAACAAAAGGGGGGGGGGCAAGTTTCAACCATCATAACATCCCGAGGGCCTTGCTAAGGATGCCCAGTTTTGCCCAGCCCCAAAATGAATGTCCCCCCAAGGAGTGGGAACTTTTCAGGGGTGGCCTCGCAGACACTTGTATGCACTCTTCCAGGGACGCTTGCTGGCTTGCACCTGGGTGACATTCTGGAAGCTTACAAGGATCTTCCTCTTTAGGGTGGTCTCAGAGGCATGGCCCTGCCTCTCTGTTTGGATTGTGGGTCAGGTGCTGTGAGTGTTTTACCTTGATTTCATTTTTGTCAGGTTGTCATGGGACTGATCTTATTTGTAAACTGAGGAAAGAAGCACACCTGTAGCAAGTATGGTGACTATTGCTTTGCCCTCATTGGTAGCTGGATGCTTGAACCTCTTGCTGTGAGTGTGCCTTCCCTTGGACATTGGGAGTGGACATATCGCTGGGGAATCGTCAGGATCAAGACCTGCCTGGCCCTGCCTTGACATGGAAAGAAGATTGCTTGAAGTAAAAAGAAGGTACCTAAAGGATTGAAGATTCCCCCCCCACACTACACACAAAGCTCCCTCCATCTCAGAGCCCCACCACCACAGCAGCCTCCTGCTCAACAGCAAGTGGAACAGGGAGATGAGGAACCCCCTGAGTGGACCTCCAGCACCTCCACTATCTCCCCTGAGAAGGTGGAGAGCCAGAGCTGAAACCTTGACTGGGCAAAGAAGTGCACAGCGTGCTTGTCAGCTCAAAGCCTCCTATGCTCCAGCAGCAGAAGAGCCCCATTCTCTAGATCTTTAAAGCATCCAGGACCCAATTTTGGCTACAAAGGGGGCTGGGCTTATCTAGGGCCAGTTCAAGTTCGTGGGGGTCCTCAGCAGTGTTCCCTCTAAGCCGAGTTAGTGTGAGCTAGCTCACAGTTTTTTAGCCTCCGGCTCACACATTTTCGTCTTGGCTCAGGAAGGAGGACTCCAGAGCAAACTGATTTATTCAGTAGCCAAATCGCTCGCTCACAACTTTAATGCCAGGAGCTCACAGAGCAGAATTTTTGCTCACAAGGCTTAGCTTAGAGGGAACATTGGTCCTCAGCACAGAGTGCCCAGGGCCCTTCTCCTCCTCTTAAAACCACCAGGACCCCACTCATGCCTTCCTTTCAAAACCACCAGGACCCCACTCGTGCCTTCCTTCCAGCCCACCCACGTCCCCACCTGTCTGTGTTTCCTCCAGCTGTGAGCCTTCCTACTTACAATGTGTCCTTTCTCAGATGGTGCTGGGTGGCAGGTGTCCATAGGAACACCACCACTGGTGCAGTGCCACCATCTCTTCCCTGGCAGCATGTGATTCGGCTCTGCGGCATTGGGTCCTACCAGAAACCCTGGGCCCTGGCAGCTGCCCCACCTGAGGGTATGTTGATGCTGACCCTGGGCTTTCTGGCTTGCGCCTGGGTTGGGCTCTTGGCTCAGTTGGGCTCTTGGCTGCTTCAACATCAGGTGAGCTTTTGTAAAACCCTGAGTTTCCAGCAAACCTCCTACCCCAGTATTGAGGATCAGCTCCATTTTGGCCTGCCGTCTGAGACTTTGGGTCAACCAGATAGTAGATGACTCAGGATGTGTATTGTGATGTGGAAACCACAGGCACAAGCTGAGAAACCTCTGCGCTCATTTACTTATTGACAAGTTCTGTCTGGAATGGCCAGGGCAAAACTGAGACAGATACTTGTCTGTAAATAAGACAGAAACTTGCAAGACAGTTTCTATCTGAAAACATGGTGTGAAGGGGAGTTAGGAGTCTGCCCCTCCTAGCAGGCAACCCCCAACATGACAGTGCTGGCAGCAAGTACCCTAGTGGAAGGAAGTGGAATAGCTTCCTCCAGGAATTGGCAGCTGTTACGTATTAATACGGCGGCTGAGCTTCATGCCAGGCTTCTTAGACTGCAAGGATCCTGAGATTCTTCTTGTGAGCCAATTAGAAGAGAGCATATTTTGGAGGGAATTATTGTTATTGGCTCTTACTATGTAGAGGTAGTTGTATTGAAGCAGCTAATGCCTGAGCCTTGTGTTAGATATCATTGCTTGTATGATAGAGCACTTGCTCTGATCGGCTGCCCAAATAACAGAACAATCAGGGAAGACTAGACTGAAACAGGAAATGCAAATAAGGTATGCTGTAGTGTTCGCTATGATTGGTTATTACTGTGTCAGGAGGTGTTGTTTTTACTGTACATAAGTGGGGATTGTTGCTGGGTTGTTTGTTGTGTTCTGAGCTGAATAAAATAAATCACTGTTTGATAAGAGCTGCCTCAAATCCAATATTTAATAGCAGCAGCCAAGGAGGGGTGGGCAGAACAGTGTGTGCAGACCAGAGTAGGCCTGTACCATCACACAGGATATAAAGGGATGTATTGGGCTCTAACTACATGTTCTGTTGTTCCTGAGTGAAACAGATTTCCATATAAACAGGGGCCTGATTCGGAGAGAGGCTGCTGTTAATGGGGAGGCTGCTGTTAATGGGGAGAATGGGTTTAAGCCTTCCATACAACACTGTTATCCAGTATCCCTTTCAGGAAACTTGCATGTAGCCAAAATAGTAGCAAAGGCAGGCTCAGAGACACACACACCCCTCTGCAACTCACTCCCTTGCCTTCTTCCTCTTCCCTCTGCCAGACATCATTTGTTCCAGGTACCCCCACCAGTACAATGGTTCATATGTCCTTGTGCCATGCTCTGGGAACAGCCTCACCCATCCTGGAGATTGAGGGGGAAGACACCCCTCCATTGCGACAGGGGCAACCTCAAAGAAGGTGCCCAAGCTCAGACCCCGCAACCTCCTTACCGGGTGAAGCATCTGAGGCCACACTATCCAACTTTGCTGATAGCCTTCTCCTCCTGCAGCCAGTATTCCAGATGCCCTGCATCACCCCACAGCCATTGGAGACATGGGGGGCTGGCTGGAGGCTGCACCACAATGCTCTATCTGACTGCTACTGGGGAGGCAAGGAATCAGGGGAAGAGACACACTGCCCAGCTATGCTCCAAGGGCATCAGCATCCCCCAAAACCACAGGATGGGCCCACCACCAAGACTGGGACTGGAGCAGGTGCAGGGAAACACTGCTGGGAAAGGGCAGGGCCCAAAGCATTTGTAAAGACACCAGGCAACCACTCCAAACACGCCTGGGAAGTTGGGGGGGGTAGCGACTGGAAGACAATGAGAGGGAGGACAGCAACCCAGCCAACCAATGGGAGCGCTGAATGGCTGAGAGACAGAGCCAACCACCAATCCCTGGGAAGGGCAGGTGTAGACTGGGGGGAAGGATATAGGACAGCCAAATGTGGAGGCTAGGGAAGAGAATGGAGAGGAGGAGGGGGAGAGAGGGGAGGCGGGAGATCCAACAGGAAGAAGGCGAGTTAAGGTGAGACAACTTCTGTCCCTCCCATTCTCAGGCCTCCTGCGGCACCTGAAGGTCCACCTCAATCAGGGCAGATGGCAGTCCCACTCCAGGTAGGGGACACAAGCTTGACAGCCATGGAGCCCCCCATGAGGCTGTACCTCTAGCTCCTCCTCTTCCTATCATATGAGTCTGATAGCCACACAACTTCCTGTTATGTGCTTGTAGTTCAGTGGCTCCCAGTTGTAGAAGGATTGAAGACTCTGGACTAAAGCCAAACACTAGGTTCACCTGAGGCAAAAAAAATACTATGACAGTCACTTACCAGGCCTGGAATCCGCATAGCCCATTCCTGTCCCTTGTTGCTGGTGTATTGGATGGTTTGGGTTGTCTGTCTGTAGGCATACTGAGAAACACTGCAGGCCACAGCTCTGATCCTTCCAAAGATGCTGGAGGGAGATCCCTCCCTCAATACACGAGCCCCTGAATTGTCATGAGCTAGAAGAAAAAGTGAGGAGAGATGGACATTTAGAGGGTTCCCAAACCTGCTGTGACATCATAGTATATCTGCCAATCAGTAGGAGGAGAAAGCCAAGGAGTTTTTTAACTTAAGAAACATATATACACTAGGAATGAGGCCCGTTGTGGAAATAAATTCAACAAGCTCTAGAAAGAGGCTCTGGGCGAGTGCCCTGGCCTTGAGCACTCAGCATCAATTTGCTGTGGTGACCTCAGCAGGATATAATGATACATAGTCCACCATTTTCTCCAGAGGAACTGATCTCTGCTACCTGAAGAGCAGTTGTAATTCTGAGTGATCTCCAGCCCTCTGCTGGAGATTGGCAACAATGGTTCCCCAGGAGGAAATGGCTGGTTTGGAGGATGGAGTCTATGGCATTGTACCTGTCTGAGGTCCCACCACTCCACAAACCCCACCCTCTCCAGGCTCCATCCCTCAAATCTCCAGGAATTTCCCAACCTGGAGTTGGCAACTCTATCTCCTTCCCAGCCAACAATCAACCTACTGTTATCTGCCCGTGATCTCTACCATCTGGAGAGCAGTTTTAATTCTAAGTGATCTCCAGCCCTCACCTGGAGATTGGCAGCAATGATTCCCCTGGAGGAAAAGTACAGTCTTTCTCCACAATGGAGACCAAAGCAGCTTACATCATTCTCCTCTCCCCCTTTTGATTTACACAACAACCCTGTGAGGTAAGTTAGGCTGAAAGTCTGTGACTGGTCCAAAATCACCCACTCAACTTCCACAGCAAGACCCTGTTCTGAAGCACTAACTGCTACGCCTAGGGTAGCCAACCTCCAGGTGGAGCCAGAAGATCGCCAGGTATCACAACTGAATTCCAGACAACAGATCTCTTCCACCCCTGGAGAAAATATCTGCTTTGGAGGATGGGCTCTATGGCATTTCTGTTCAGCTGAGACCTCTCCCCTCCCCAAACTCTGGCTTCTTTAGACTGGCTTCCTTAGTAGACACAGAATATTCAGGAATTTCCCAACTGGAGCTGGCAACTCTAGTCAGGACTGACCCTAATGAGTTCCTCACAAAGGCCTGGAAAGGGTTTCCTTCCTTTGTCTTTTTACTGACAGAACCAAGCTTGGTTGCCTAGCAACAGCCACTGAAGGAAAAGTTAGTTAGGAGTCAAGCAGGAGAAGTGTCTTCGTCAGGACAGGCAGCCATTTTGGCAGTTATTCTGACAGGGAACAGTGGCAGTGGGCGGGGAAGAGGAGAGCACCCAGCACCCAGCCAATGGCACACGAGTACTCTTGAGTGGCGGTTGATGAGCCAATGGCTGATGGAGTGCATAGCACAGCCAGTGGGAGAACTAGAAATGGCCAACACATAAGACAATTATATATTACGTATAGGATAAGATCATCCCTGTTATCTCAGTCCTTATAAGTAGCACTCCCAGGTCTACTTTAACAGAAATTGAGAGCTGCAGTGAAGTTCCTCAACAATTGGAAATATCTCCTATCTTGCCACCTTGTGGCAATAATTGCTTTTTGATTCTTGGGCCCTTATTGAAAAAATTACAGTATAGGCCATATTTTTGCTCCAAGGTGCATTGCATGTATGCCACACAGTTTGCAACAACAACCACCCTCAATCAACAGGTGGCAGTACTTTATAAAGGGGACTGAAGCATCCCAGGCTACTGTAAAATGACATTTGCATGTGGAATTCACAAGGTGTCTGGGCGAATGAAGGCACATGTATTGGGCACATTTATTGATACCAGCTGTCAACTGAAAAGAGAAAAGCTCTGATTTATGATAGCCAAGAAGAAGATAATGATGTTGTTTTGGAAATCTCTACCATAACCATTTGGTATCTTAAACACCGAGAAACCAGGAACTGGAGCACGTAGACCACAGAATAGAGTGAAGATCATGCCTTTTCCTCAGGGAGACAGTTGCAAAGATTACATGAAAAAGTCTCTGTTCTACAGCTTAGTTTAGCGCCCTTCTCCAGGGCAATATGTGTTAATTGCACAGCTGTATGTCCATGTCCTAGGAATCTCTAACCAAGAATTCTTAGCAGCTTGACAGAATGACAATTCCTAAGACTCTTTGGGGGAAGCCATGGCAGTTCATTTGGTACTGAAATGCAGAAACTCCTACACTTCCTTTATTATACTTTAATTAATGCTAGTCATTGCTGGAGATATGGTATTTAGCCAGAAGCAGTGTTCACCTGACTCTGTAGGGGTGATTATTTTTATGTAGCATGTGATATCATTTTGCGTCTGCAGGCTTCCTTCTTTCCAAACTTGGAGTTCTGCAGAGAGCAATCCAAGTTCCTGAGTAGGGTGCACAGTTTGTGGCAGATCCTAATTACTGCTATGGAGGGAAGGCGGCATGATATAGCAAGATCTCATCAGATTTTAGAAACTAAACATGGTTGGTACTTGGATGGGAGACTACCAAGGAAGATTCTGCAGACGAAGACAATAGCAAACCATCTCTGCTTACTTGCTTTGAAAGCTCCTTGCTGAAGTTGCCATAAGTTGATTGCAACTTGATGCCACTTACATATGTATGTAATGACCACTACATTTCCTCCACCTCTAGGGGAACAATGCAAGGACCTTTAGAACCATCTTTGCATAGCCTGAGCTTCTCTAAGAGTCAAGCTGCTCAGTTTCCTTTTAGCACATACCTGAGACCAGTCACAGACAAGTCAGACAATGTTATTCACCTGAGCTGTGTTCAGGTTTTGGAAGAAGGAGGTCCACCAACTTCTCCACCTTTCCAAGCGCTGTCTCTACTCCTGCTTCAGCCAAGTGGCTCACTTTACTGCTCCTGGCATCCTTGGTTACATCTCTCATGGTATTCTGAGCCTGCTCACAGCTTTCTGCAGCCAGCCCCAAGATCCAATCCAGGGCATCAGCTATAGAGTGCACAGTGCTTTGGACATGAGTGCAGATGGAGTCCTTTAGCTCAGAGGTTACCTAAAGGAGAAATGACAGAAAATAGTCCTGACCACCTTGGACTAACATCTGTGCTGTACATCTAAAGGGGTCCCATCAGGGAGCTTGGAGGGTCTCATCGGCTGGCCAAGGGAGTGGGTGGTACCTATGAGAAATACAGAATAATAAGCAATAATGGATCTCACTACCCAAAGAACAGCTACTTATTTAAAGAAGCAAATTCACAGAGGCTAGGTCTAGCAACATTTATTAGCCACAAGTGCTGAATATACCCTCAATGTTCAGAAGCAGTGTACCTCTGAATAACCAGACTGAATAGAGTAGAGCTTTTTTTAAAAACTTACTTCCTCCACTGGCTTGTGAAGGGCAGGAATCCTTTGCTCCAAGTGATCCAACCCTTGGCAGGCCAAGACATTGGCTGCTGCAACTGAATCAAAAAGAAAACCATTGTTTGCTCAATGTCTGGAAGATGTCAGGCAAAACTTGGATGCAACAACAAAATCATTTTTTATCACTCCATGTTTGTAGCGACTCTGAGGAGTCCCTGAGATAAAAAGTAGGAAACTGTGTTCATGTTGTTGTCAGGTTCAATAGAGCAGTTGCAGTCCACAACGATTCATAAGAATAGGTTGCTTTAATACAAGTCACTATTGATACACTTTCACGGTCATTGTCAGGAATGAAACTCAAAGCCAAGCATGTACAGACATAGACAGTTAAAAAAAAGGGTTAAGCCAATGAATACAGTTCGCGCTCAGCAGAAATTCGAGCGGGGGGGAAAACCAAGACGGGAGATAGCCTTTCAGCCGTTTGGTTCACACCAGCCAGATTGGGAATGGCCCTATCAACAGTTCTCACAGTCTTACCTACTACAAAGGCAGCAAAAGCATTCCAAGGTCAAACCAAGAGATAAAGCGCACAGGGAGGATGAGAACAGAGCAATGCAGGCTAATTCCCCCCCATCATACAGCAGGCAGGTTACACAGAGCATACACAGAATACAAATGGCAGTTTACTGACAGTTGTTGAACAACCATGCAGTAAAACTGACAGAATTCAATAATGCTGGCATGAAGCATTTTGCAAGAAAGCACTGCCACTGCTGAAGAATGCTGTAATATAAGAACATGCGCAACACTCACACTGAGGTTCTAGCTTCTGTATCACTGGTTTCATACTCCACATGACAAGAGAGCTGACAGCTTGGATCCCTCTCTCATAAGCTTCACACATTGATGCCACTAGAGGATGAGATTTTTTGGTAGTGGTATATGTCTTTTGGAGGCTGTTGCATGCTGAATTCACCACTGGCAGGCACAAGAGCCTCTGCAAGGCATTATCCTCCTGCAAAGGAGGACACTGGAGTCAATATGCTGGTCAATTGATTGCTCAGATATTGCAATCTGACCAGTCAGCTCACCAGTCAAATAGTGACTGGAGAATTAACCATGGTCAAATGTCATGAAGCCATGAATATCAGGGCCTCTTGGTCACCATGGGGACCTGTGGAGCTGGACAAGTTATGAGATTTGTTTTCATGCCATGTTTGGATTGAGTCTGTGTGGTGTGAGGAATCTTTGCCTCGGGGCTTTTGGCAGCCCTGAGAATGTCACTGTGTAGATTCCAGCTGAGGGCCATTTGATCCCATGACCTGCAAGCAGACTTGGCTACCCAGGAAGATTGCACCAGGAATTTCAGCACCAGCCTGCAGGCATTTCCCACAGGAAGACTGTGGCCTGTTGCTGATTTAGAACAGAATTGTCTTGGGAGGGGGGGGGAAACCTTCTTTTGTTTTTTTTATTGTGGTTTTGGTTGGTGGAAAGTCCCTTCAAGTCACAGCTGATTTATGTCAGCCTTATAGGCAACAGATGAACAGAGGTGGTTTGCCATTACATGCCTCTGTAGAGCAACCTTGGACTTCCTTGGTGGAACTGATGCCCCAAGGCCCTCACCCATTTTTTTCACAGCTTGTTCCCCCTTTTTCTGTACATAAGTATACCTCAGTGTGGGCCTAGAAACAATAGAGGAAGCCTGAATTAAGGTGATATCAAAAGACAGTGAGTCACTAAGGCGGAAAGGAATGTAGGGCAGTCCTCTATCAATCATGCAAATACTTGCCTTAAGAGTGATGCAGTGGAGGGCCAGTTTCCTCATAGATTATGGAGCTTTCCCCCAGATTATTTCGTCCTAACTAACAACCCAGGTTTCTATAACAATAAGCAATGGACTGATTTCAGCAATTTTCTCCATATCTCAGCAACTGGACAGGACGTTTTCGGCTGTTTCCTGATTACGACAAGTGCCCAGCCATATCTAACTTCTACATTTCCCCATGGGAACACTTTAGACACTCTCCATGCAAAATGAGAAAACTCACCTCTACCATATAGACAAAGAATTTATTTTCAGGCTGGCTTATGCTTGAAAGATCACATTTTTATCATAACCACATTCCGATGCCAACACCTTATCCCCTCCTTAGACTCAGCAAAAGGGTACAAAGTATTATCCCTCAGCCTCACTTTTGAGACTCATCCTGTTACCCCAGCCTCTCAATTGGCCTCTCACTTCTCTACTTTGTGGACCTGTCCCTGCTTGGACATTTTCAGCTCCCCACACTGCTTCTCCACTGCAGAGAACAAAAGCAGATTCATATATTTATTAACCCTCACTTTTAGTTTTATTTCCCAGTAAGTAGGCAGTTGTTCTAGGGAAAGGTATTTACTAGACATTTTCCTTTCTGTAATTTTAGTTTCGCTCTACCATATAGCTTAAATTAATTTCCAGGCATTAGAGGGCCTTGATTAGAGAGTTGTCAAGGTCCCCCTCTCCACTGCCATTCCCAATTGCATCACATTCCATGCCCCTCCTCACCCATCTGTAGACCCTCCACCACTGCCCAACCATGTGTCCTTCCCCTTGTGTTCTGCCACCCATGTTCCCAGCCACACGCATCACCTGAATGCCCTTTTCTGGGTGATGCTGGGCAACGTGCATCCAGGTGGCGGGGCAAAGGGGAATTACCATAAAGAATCAAGTAACATCATACATCTTACAGATTGCCCATATGTTTTCCCCTGTGGGGCAACTACCCTTCGATTAAGACATCCTGCTCCCCTAGAGTCTCAGTACAAGTGCCCCTCCCCCATGACTGCTTTGACTAGGATGGGCACAAACTGGCTTATGACCTAAAGTTTGTAATGAATTTTGGCCAGTTCATGGTTTGCAGACTGAAGTTCGTGGCATGTCAGCTGGCACAAACTTTCCAGCAGTTCCTGGAGGTTGGTGCCCGTTGGTGAATGGACACATTTCCAGACAGACTGTCTCCACTCAAATAAAATTTTACCAAACTTCAAAGCAAGAAGGGGGTGGAATTCTCCAGCCTTGGAAACACTGTCATCAGTTTCAAACTAGTCATGTCAGTTTCAAGAGGGTCCCCATCCCTTTGGGGTGTTTCTTTGTGTTCACTTCCCATTTTCTTGCATAGAGCTTACAAAATCCCCCCACCCCCCACTTGGATTTGTGACTCTGTGCTTTGAGATCAGTCCTTTTAAGCTTGTGATGCCAATGGCACTGGGTTTTGCTGGACACTAGTATATTGTACTGGTTCTGCAGGGCTTCCAAACCCCCCAGATTGTGATTCTGTGCTTAACATCAGTCCTGTTGAGCTGACCTTGCCAGATTGGCCCTGGATTCTGCTGGGCACTCTGTGATTGCACTGGTACTGGTGGGCACTCTGTACATTGTACTGGTTCTGCTGGGCTCACACAATCCCCCCCTTCAGTTTCTACTGCAGAGATTCTTTGGTTTGACTTTAGTCCTGTTGGATCTGCACTGTCACAGTGCACCACTTCTGCCCCACCATCAGCTGTGCATGTGCACATTGAGTCAAACTCATAGTCCATCCACAAATGGTAATCCTGATCCTCTCTTCTTCATGGAAGAGTATAAGCCTATATTCTCTCTCTGCATCTACTGATACTGATTCCTTGTTCCACTGTATTTGAAGCATATATTGTAAGATCTTCAGGGCAGAGGATTGTCTTTTTTAAACTTAATATTCTCAATAAAGTGCCATTGATGATGCTATATTATTAATAACCATCAATTGCTAATACACTCCCTATCCTTTTTTCTCACCTGTCTGTCTATTCTGCCTGCCATCTGTCTATTCTCTCCACCCTAGGAAAGGCTTGTGTAATTTCAGTATTGGATCTTGGAAGCTAAGCAGGTTCAGCCCTGGTTAGTACTAGAATGGGAGACCATCAAGGAAGTCCAGGGTTGATACACAGAGGGAATCAGTGGCAAACAACCTTGAAAACACCAGGAGGTTGTCATGTAGGCTGCAACTTGAGGCCCCTTTCCACCACAGCCTGAACTGGAGATGTCAAAAAGCTAAAAAATGTTAAACAGACTGTTTGCTAAACTTTGCTTGGCATGAATTTTAAAGACAGACAGATGATTCTTCCCTTGAGCAACTGTGATTGAAGTGCCAAGCATCAGAAGGATCAAGGTGGGCAGCCGTGTTGGTCTGGAGCAACAGAACAAAGTTTGAGTCCAGTCAGGCACCTTTAAGACCAACAAAGTTTTATTCAAGGTGTGAGCTTTCATGTGCAAACACACTTTGTCAGACGATTAAATGGAATTATATATCATAGTTATATATATAGGGGTGACGTTAAATTAGCTTGCAAAATAGTGAAGATATTTCTTTAACAGAGAAAAAGAATGACAAGCTGGGTTTCTGGTTATCATCTGTTTGGATTCAACTGAGGGGGAAAAACAACATAGGTAATAAATATGTCAAAACAATCTCCAGTTCTGACATATTACCTATGTTGTCCCCCCCCCAGTTGAACCCAAACAGATGATAACCAGAAACCCAGCTTGTCATTCTTTTTCTCTGTTAAAAATATCTTGACTATTCTGCATGCTAATTTAACAAGACACCTCTCTATATATGCAGCTATGATATATAATTCCATTTCATCATCTGGGAAAGTGTGCGTGCACACAAAAGTTCACACCTTGAATGAAAATATCAGAACGGCTTGTCCTCCAGCACCTTCCTAATCGGGACTCTTCTTCCCAAGGGGAGGGATGGGTCCTTGCTCTGCTCATAATTAAATCTCTCTCTGAGAAACTGGGCCCTTGATGAAATATGCAGATGGGCAATTATCTGCTGCCAATACCCATCTCAGCACTTTTTTTTTTGCTGTGATTAGAGATCTACAGGAATGATGGGGCACAATAATCACATACTTAAATGATAGAGTTTGCATATTTGTTTTCTGAAATGCACAACATATCTGCTTTGGTTTCACCTGCAAACCTACCTTGAGGGTTCTGTTCACCACAGCCTGCTTACTTTTGGCTGGCATTGTTGCTAAACATCAGCCTATAAAAGTAATAAAGTAATATGCAGAGAATTAAGTTGTGTACAAAAGCGTGCATTTTCCAGCAAAGTCTTCAGGACAATCTTAAGTGTGTCTCTGCCCTGCTTTTCTTACGGGCGTGGCTGGAATCTTTAACACTCACTGTGTCCATGGACTTCAGTGCACTTAGAAGGGACTGCTTAGGATCGCAACTTCAGGCAGAAGAAACTGCTCTGGACAAAGGAACTTGATGTGGAGTCCCAGGGTATGAATTATTGTTGCCAGCCTCCAGGTTGGTTCTGGTGTTCTTCCAGAATTACAATTGGTCTTAAGACTACAGAGATTAATCACCTTGGAGGAAATGGCAGATTCTTAGGGTAGACTCTATGGAATTACATCCCTCCTGAGCTACATCCCTTCCCCAAATGCCACCTGCCCTAGGCACCACTCCCGAGTCTCTAGGAATTTCCCAAGAAGGAGTTGGCAGCCATATTATCTGACAAAGCAACCATGCTGATGCTAAATAGGTCTGGGGTCTGGTAAGGGTTTCTTCCTGGGAGACACTATCCAGGAATCCCACATAAATCCCACAGGAAAGGCAGGCTCTAAATGCAATATAATAATAAATAAGGATCCCCATATTACATGTGCAAAAAATAACTATTTGATTGGCATGGAAAACTCAGATTTCTTCCTTCAAGATCTCAAATGATAAACCAGGGGTGACTTATAATGACTCCACTTTCTAGGTCAGCAATCCCTGACATAGCATCCATAGGTAACATAGTGCTCATCCTAATATGTTCATGCTTCTTGAGTCTTGGATAAAACCCAAGAGGTCTTGAATAGAATGAAAAATAAAAACAGGGACCAAGACATTTTGAATAGAATGAAAAATAAAAACAGGGAACTTTAGTCACTCCCTGACAGTCCACTGACTAACAAAGTGCTGAGTTTGCTTCAGGCCAGTGTGTCACAAGCATGTACATAGATTCAGGTAGGCATGTGTGCAAGCACATGAAAACTTGTACCCAGAATTAAGCTTTGTTGGTCTTAAAGGTGCCACGACTCAAGCATGTACAATCAGCTTGGCTAATAGATTAGGGTTGCCATCTCCGGGTTGGGAAATACCTGGAGATTTTGGAGGTAGAGCCTGAGGAGGGCGGGGTTTGGGCCATAATGCCATAGAGTTTAACTGCCAAAGTGGACATTTTCTCCAGGTGAGCTGATCTTTGTGGCTTGGGGATCAGTAGTAATAGTGGGAGATTTCCAGGAACCACATGGAGTTTGGCAACCCTACGATACAGAATTTCTTATGTCTCAGGCCTAGGCAGCCTCTTCCTATTTTTATTTACTTTTTATTTAAATCATTTTTATGCTGCCTTTCCACCAGTTCAATGTCCCCAAGAGAGCAATCAATTGAAAACATTAAAAGCTTTTAAAATACATAGAATAAAAGAAATCAAAAACTACAAATTAAACAGGTCATGTACACAGTTAAAGCACATACACAGAAAACAGGGCCAGGGAGGGAATGCCAGATGAAACAGATAAGTCTTCACCTGCAGGTGAAAGACAGTGACAGGAGGGGACAGGTGCACCTCCCTGGGATGGGAATTCCATAATTTTGGTGCCTCATACAAGAAGGCCCTTTCTTGGGTTTCTACTAGTCTACTCTCAGACGGATGGGGCACTCAAAGAAGGGCCCCTGAAAATGACCACAATGGTTGAGTAGGTTCTTGGTCCTTAAAGACTGTTGATCCCTATAGAGGTTTATGGGTTTGCAGGGAGTAAACCCTTCCTTTTCTTTGAAAACAGAAGCCTAAGTCACATAGTGAAGACTTGATTCCCTCTATCCACACACCTGTGGTATCCATTTTTTCACTGGGCTCCATCCTCCATAACAACTATTTTTGTGTGGGGTTGCCCACTATCAAACATTCCAGAAGTGTCTTCAGGCTCACCAAAGCTGGAGGACCCCCTCCCTTCTAGACTGTGGTCTAGGACCCAATGGTGGGTGGCTATCTTCAGGATAAAGTTTGCTTAATGCTTGTGGCAGGCATCAGCTCAGAATTATAGAATCACAGAGTTGGAAGGGACCTCCAGGGTCATCTAGTCCAATCCCCTGCACAAGGCAGGAAATTCACAAATACCACCCCCCACACCCCCAGTGACCCCTGTTCCATGCCCAGAAGATGACAAAAACCCACCAGGATTCCCAGCCAAACTGGCCTGGAGAAAAATTGCTTCCTGACCCCAAAGTGGCAATCAGCATTTCCCTGCGTGTGTAAAAAAGGGCCACAAGAACTAAGCATTAATGTAACCCTTCCTGCCCTCCCTCTCATGGTCTGCGTAAGTTCAGAATCAGCATTGCTGTCAGATGGCCATCTAGCCTCTGTTTAGAAACTCCCAAAGGAGAGCCCACCACCTCCCAAGGAATCGCTCTAACTATCCGGAGGTTCTTCCTGTTGTTTAGCTGGAAACTCTTTTGATTTAACTTCACCACGTTGGTTCTAGTCCGACCTTCTAGGGCAACAGAAAACAACTCTGTACCATCCTCTCTATGACAGCCCTTCAAGTACTTGAAGATGATTATCATCTCACCTCTCAGTTGTCTCTTCTCCAGGCTAAACATACCCAGCTCCTTCAACCTTTCCTAATAGGACTTGGTCTCCAGACCCCTCACCATCTTTGTTGCCCTTCTCTGAACACATTCCAGGTTGTCTATATCCTTCTTGACTACATCTCCCACTATTACAACTGATCCCCAAGTCACAAAGATTAGTTCACCCAGAGAAAATGTCCACGTTGGTAGTTAGAAGTATGGCTTATGTGGAAATATATATTCATTTGCACACAAAATACAAGAGACAGAGACGGTACTAAAAGGTGGGACAGTTTGAAAACACCAGGAAGAGAGAGAATAGCTTTGGCAACTATATCCAGCCCACAGACTGTCTATTGCCCAATTTTACTATAAATAGGTATCTTGCAATAGAGTTGACCCCAAACTAAACAGAACAGTTAACAGTGAAGTTTCAGTATGGAAAATGTGCCTTCTTGCAATAGAGGGAATTCTCTTCCACAGCTGGTAGGGAATGACCTAAAGCTCCTTGTTGTTGTTTTTCCTGGTTACTCTTTGCTTCTGTGATAGTACAACCCAAAATGTGAGGGAAAGAAACACACTCATTAAAACAAAAGTACCACTTGTGGCTTAATTTGTCTGACCCTTGTAATCTATCTGCAGTTCCAGGATGGAGTTTTGGAATCTCTGAGGTGATAATAAAGATGCATCTAAGCATGTACAGAGTCCTTTTTCTCTTTACAGTAGCCATAGCTTGTTGCGACAGCATTGGTGATTAGGAAGTGTTAGCCAAATTGCCTTATTTCTTAATAATAGCTTGGGGAATTATGAATATAAAATGGCAATAGGCATATAGAATGGATCATGACCTGTGTATACTGGAGTTAGAATTCCCAAGAACCCAAGAATAGACACAGAGACTGGGTAGCTAAAATAATGATTTCTTTACTAAATATTCTCAAGCATACAAACAATATTCAAACATTCACACACACAATACAGAACTAAGAAAGCAGAGGTGATTGATAGCTAATAGAGGGGTCAGTTATGGGGCTAATAGAGGGGTCAGTTATGGGGTGATACTACCTGTCCAGATGTGCAGAGGTCCATGAAGAAGGGATTATGGCCTAAACCCAGAGGTTTAGGGGTGGACTGCCAGTTGGCATCAGGGCACAGGCACACTGAGGCCATGTGCCTGATGGATATAGACATTGGAAAACAATGCAGACCAATGGAAGGCTTTGGGGACTGGTCTCAGGTGAAGACAATAGATTACCTGGGCCAATCAGGTGTCCCAGGAGGTGCAGTTGTCAGGAGGGGTATGGCCTGATGTGACCAATGAGCTTCCAGAGAGGCAGAGTCTGGATATAATGAGATTAAGCCAGGTGCTGGATGGTTGGGCTGGGGGTGTCCATTTTGGAACAATAGAGTGGTCTGGTGTTACAAAAGAAGTGATGTTCATTTATTTATTTATTTATTTATTTTATTAAGATTTATACCCTTCCCTCCCCGCAGAGCATGTTTCTTAATGTGTGGCAGGATGACCCTGAATGGGTGACCATTCACTAGACATGGAAAGTTAATGTTTACCTTGATAGGTCTGGCATAGGTGTAAGTGCAGATATCTTAGACAAATATATGGAAACAGGAATGAGAGGATTATTCCAAAGGTATTCCCTGACATATAGGTGAAACAGGAGAGGGGAATGGAAACATGCAACATACTTCATTCATGACAATAGCACAGACCAGAGGCTTTTCATCCCTGCCTGCCTGTACATTTGATAGACAAAAGACTAGCCATTTGGTCAGTAGAAGATGCCTGAGGCAAGGGCAGAGACTTGCCCATTCTAGTCCGTTTTGGGCTGAGCTGACAGGATAGACGTGGGTGGGGGGGGGTTGCTTGCATGGAGGGTGCTTGGCACAACAGCCAGCCTGGAGAGTCCTCACCAACGCTCCCTCTAAGCTGTGGAGTCCTGTGAGCAAAAATTCTACTTTGTGAGCTACTGGCATTAAAGTGGTGAGCAGGCGACTTGGCTCCTGCATAAATTAGCTTGCTCTGGAGCCATCCTCCCTGAGCGAAGACAAAAATCTTTGAGCTGCAGGCTAGCTCACACTAACTCAGCTTAGAGGGAACACTGGTCCTCACTTGGCCGGAGTTTTCTCAGCCAAGATGTGGTTCTCCTAGCCTCCCAGCAAAAGCCACTGTTTAAGCCAAGCCTGGCTTCATGAGGGCACAGCTTGTGGAGGTTCAGAGGTCGTTTTGGGGTGTCTCTCAGGAAAAACCACCCCTGCTTCAGGGCTGAGGAGGCTGGCTACAGAAGAACTTCCAGAAGAGATGGTACAGCTCTCAGTCATGCTTGATCCTCCTTACCTTTCTTTTTAGAAACATAAGGACATTTACCATATCAAAGTGGGGACAGGGCTATGGCGTCTGCTTGGCATGCAGAAGGTCCCCGGCTCAATCCCTGGCATCTTCAATTAAAAGGACCAGGCAATAGGTGATATGAAAGACCTCAACCTGAGGCCCTGGAGAGCCACTGCCAGTCTGAGTAGAGAATAAAAACTTTGATGGACCAATGGTCTGATTCAGCATAGGCAGCTTCCTGCACAAAGCGTGCTCACCTGACTTTTCTTATAGCTTCTAACATTGTTATTTCGCTGTTCCCCTCCCCTTTCCATCAAAGCTAGAGCAGTTCCATATGTTAAAGATTAATAGCATAAAAATAAATGTGTTGCTGAACCATGCTAT